ATATTTTATTTTGTTTCTTGTTCCAACTTTTTTAGTTATTCGATATCCTTCATATAGAATAATTGGAGTACTCAACACAAAAGTATAGATGGATTAAATAAGGGTTCAGGCTTGTTTTCATTTTGTTGATAGGATCTTTCTTCGGTCTGAATTCTTTTGAAATCCTTGTTCATTATTGAAATATGGATTAATGAGGTTAAGCACTTTTTCAACACGCTCAAGTATTATAATTAAGAACTAAACCAACATACTTTTAGTAGGGATAATATATTGATGAGTTAAAAGTTTAGTGTGATTAGTTCATATACACAAAGATTCAGAGAGATCCATCCTTTCCACATTTTTAGGTTCAACACCAATCGTTTTCTTATATTAAGGAAGGATTTCTTTGGATTTCCATATCAAACGCAAGCTATCATCAACATCACAATAAATTTTGATATCAAATCCTAAAACATGTCCCTCTGTGATGATGATTTTATTAGGTTTTTTAGCTTCATCGCTCTATGGCTCATCTAATTTTTTGTCGATTAATCTGTGATGTAGTCTTTTCTTGCAAAAAAAAAAAAAAAAAAAGCTCTTCAATTCTCCCGCAAGTCATTCTTCGTCTAATTTCCTTTCCGATCAAATACGTTACCATTCACACATATGAAGGATAAAATGTCGAGCATCTTTCGCTTCAACTCATATATTTTTACAATGTTGAATTTTCCTGAACAATTAGGACCAGCAGCAATCAACATTAAAATTGGGTTTTTTGTTTATTATTTATCATTATACCATTTTATGATATATGGGATTATTCTCATATATAAATATAGAAAGAAAATTATAAAATTTACAATTTTCTACTCTAGAAGCCTTTAAATATTAATTAAACTATTGCATAAATATATTTTTGTTTTTAAAAGCTCTTCTTGATAGTGTATCTTGTTCTCTTAACTACTGTTTCAATTTCTTTTATAATAAATCCCTTTATTCTTTTTGAGCATACGCTATTAGTTAAAATAAATGGAAACAGCGATACTTACTGCCAGTGTTAATAATATACATAAAAAGTCAGATTATGATAACTCGGATTCTGCAAAAGAGATCCAATAAAAGATCCCTGGATACGGTTGACGTATTGCGTACACTTATCACGTCTTCCTTTCAGAGTCAATCACTTAATAAAATCAGCCCGTATGTTCTAATTTCTTTAGGTGGTGGTCAATCACTTATCGAAGCGATTATGTAGTTTCTTGAAAAAAGAGAATGCCATATTATGTATAGTTCATCTTGGATAGACCGCTGATTTCAATACGTTACGTTTTACTTTTTTCGTGTTGCTATTTGCATCAAAGCTTGCTTTCCTTTCTTCATTAGTTATTTCGAATCGACGATGTTCTACGCTTTTAGATACACATTCACCAATACAATAATAGATAATTGGGTTTTTGATTTTTAATATTTCTTAGTATATTAAGGAGTGGAATTATATGTATGGTTGTGGTATCATCCTTAGCCTCGGGTCACTTGCAAAATAATGAAGCACCAGCTCTTGTACGAGGCATAAGCATGAGAAGGCTCCTTGGTTTTTTTTTACGAATGAAAAAATAACCTTTTCTACTTTCTCTGTCAAAATCAACTATTGCATTATTTATTACACATTTCATTATCATTTTTAGATACAAGTTTCCATCTTTTTAACTTAACCATATATCAATTAGGATTTTGATGTTAAGTTTTCTACCTATTTTCTAAAAATGATTATAGTATAATTAATATAATTGTTATTACAAGAATATATCATAATTAATAATAAATAAAATAATTCTTTCTGATTTCGTTTAACCATTAACCTTTGGAAAAGAAGTCATGTTCCTAAATATATATAAAAAATATTAATATAAAAATCGATATAAAAGTAAATATTAAAAAAAAAACATGTTACCATTACTCGGGTTCATAAAACTAACTTTTCTTTATCTCTGCCTTATATTATTCTACCTTTGCGTGTTACCAAAAGTTATATTTTCGCGCTCTAGAAACCTTTTTCACATAGTTATTTATTGCCTTCAGGTATCATTTTTCCATGTAAAAAAGTCCAGGACGCTCTTGCGTATCACTACCGAAAATCGATCACACTTTTACGTGTTTGTACTTTTGGGCACTATTAAATTACTATATATTACTATTACAAAACAAATGCGATGATAATAACTAAATTTTGAATCCTGAAGTCCTTGGTAAAACCAATGTTCACTTTGTCTGATTTTGTTGCAGCATGCCTCATATTATCTTTTAATGATTAAAGTTAAAAATAGGTTTGATAAAAAAGAATTGGCATAAGTTGGTCTGGTTTTACTTCAATTATTTGCTCTTGTTTCCATTTTGCATTTTTTCCTTGGTAAGACTGGCAAAGGCTTATTGGCTAAATATAATTCCTGTTTTAATTGCTGAATTTCTTGGGCTTGTTTGTTCATCTCTTGTTGATTGGCTTGCAATTCAAGAGAATACCTTGTATTTCCTGATTCTTGACTGTCTCTAATAAGGTTGCTTGCTGAAACTTCTTAATGACTGCCAAAACTCTGCGCAAAAACGACAAATTACTGAATTTAGAAAAAGACAGCAATAGTAACACGGTAAAATTTTATTTTTTTATATTAATATTAATATTAATATTAATATTAATGTGTTAACGGAAATCAAAAATATAATCTACGGATTTTCATTTCTCATATTCCTTATGTTTCCTTTATCTTATTTTTGTATTTCTTTATTTTACTTCTTTATCCTTTACTTCATACCTTACGAGGTCAATTCATTTTCTTATACTTTTAATTTACAAATTTAAATGCAATTTAAAAGAATTTAATTCGGAACATATTAAATCAGAAACCTTTGTTAAAGTATATCAACAAATTTTAGAAGGAAGGATTAGAGATCCACAATTAATTGATCTAGTCTTCAACATTTCTACAAAAATCCTCAACAACTATCCCACTTACATTACCAATCGGGATCAACTGAAAATATTTATAAAAATAAATCTTGTTACTTTTGTGAGTAAAGGACACATAAAAAATATTGTAAAGTCCAAGGACTAACAGAAGCGGGAAAAATGGAATTCATCTTTCAGAAGCCACTTTGTTGTACCACTGCAAAAGAAAAGGAGAGTTGCAACAATTTAATTAAAAAGGAGAATATTATCTTGGAGGAAATTTCTTTTGAAGATATCCCAGACGATTTGCCTTACGAGGATTAATTGAATGAACTTTAATATTATTGAAAGAAATACTTTAGGACACAAAAGACAACATCAATTATATTCACGTTTAACATCTATAACTCATCTATCTTGCTCAAAATGTTATCCATTACGTCAAAGCTTCTCACCAGAATTCCTCGCATTTTGGAATCGGATAACTGATAATTATCAAGCTATAAATTGCACTTCTAATACTGTCCTTGCTTTTGAGCATTTATTAACAGAACACGATCCATAACAAGTCCCCAAAGTATTATTAATTAGTATCGGATACCAGAAGATTTTACCCAATTATATCAAGATTATATAACAATAGCAGCTATGACTAACTTATTTACATTAGCACCAAACGAAGTTATAAGTTTTGTGGAACAAAAAAATGAAGAAAATAATAGTCCAAGCAGCAATTATGAATTAAGTGATAACTCAGATAGTGACTCAAACGAAGATTCTATTCCAGGTCTCGAAAACTTTTTTGATTTAAACCAGCCAATAGTAAATCTAACAGCCAAACCAAGTCCCAATGAATGCACAAGATATACAAGCTCTTGCAAATACACTTGCTCAATTGGTAAATGCAATAGCACCACCACCAGCAGCTGTACCAGCGGAATTAAGCAATGTAAAATACCCATATTATTTAGGATGAGACCGAGATCCAATTACCTGGATAGAAGAAATAGAACAAGCCTTTGTTGCAAATAGAGTAGAAAATGATTGGAAAGTAGAAATGGCAGTACCAAGATTAAAAGCAGGAACAGCCACTTGGTGGAATCAAGCTCAAGGTAATTCCAACACTGGAACAGTCAGACTGACAATGGTGCAATACAAGAAGTTTTGTAAGGATAGGCAGCTGAATTAAAAAAACACTGTAGATGCTTTTGCAGTACATATCTTTGAATTGTTCAGAAGCATTTAACACAGAAGGAACAATTATCCAGCCACAGTAAGGTCTAGAATGTTTATGGAAAGGTTACGACCTGAATTATCTATAGCAGTTAGTCCGTTCTTTACCTGATGATATACAAGAAGAAATTAATAGAGCCAAGGCTTACGAAATAACCTACTCATGAGGGGGAACTATATCTGTCTACTCAGCAGAACGATTCATGCCCAACATTCCAGGATTAAATAAAGGAGTGGACTAACAACTGCAAGAATTAATTAATCAACTGTCTAACACTAATGAAAAGATATTACAACTTTAGAGCAATGTTTGTTTTTATCAACTAGAAAATTGACATCTTCGTTTTAAATATTTATAATACTTCATTTAATAGATATGTATATAATAATAATAATCAAGTTTATTTATATTATATTATATCATTTCCTATAAAACATTTATGAAATTTGTTCAACTTTTAACATAAATGCATCAAATGTTAAAAGCAGAGAGGATAGCAGTAGCAATAAAAGTAGCAGTAGCAGTAACATGAGAATAAAACAAGTTAATAGTTATAAATAATAAATATTATTACGTTAAAAATTTCTGAAAGTAACACAATACTGATGCTGCGTACATTCAATAAAATTGATCTGATGTCACATGTTCAATATACAAAAAAAAAAATCTTCAAAGGAGAATTTCTTTTACAGCTTCGAATATAATATAATAATAACTGATAATAAAACGATTCTTTATTTTAAAAAAAAGGGAACCAAACTTTATGATCCAATAATTAACTAATTAACTAATAAAATTAATTAGATAAATAGATAGATAGACAATCAATTTATAGTAAAAAAAATGACTGATCTTGATCTTGAAAGTGTTTACCAAGATTACTTGGCGTCTTTACAAGACTTGACCTTCAACTCTAGGCCAATAATAACCAATTTAACCATTATAGCTCAAGAAAATGATTTTGCTGCAAGGGCTATTGTACAAGCAATAGAAAAACAAATCCATATTGTAAGTATATAAAATCGTAGTAATTAAAATGAAATATAGATGTTATAATGCATATTTTCTCACACACATTCACACATTTTCTAGTGTTTGCCTGAACATAAATTACCTGTTTTATATCTACTTGATTCTATCTGTAAGAATGTTGGCGGAACTTACGTTCATCTATTCTCAAGAAATCTTTATAACATATTTATGGAAACATATAACTCTGTCGATCAAACTACAAAATTAAAGCTTGAAAAGGTGTTGATTACATGGAAAAGTGGTCCAAGTGGTGATCCAGTGTTCTCGAATGATGTGATTGGTTCAATTGAAAGAGCCCTAATGAAATTGCAAAGATATCCTTTTCAACAACTAAATGGATCAATTGACATTACTAATAATGATAACAACAACGGCAACACTAATAATATTATTAATAGTGGAACTGGTAGAAATTATATTCATATTAATCCTAATTTCTTAAGTAGTGTTGTAAGTATCTATTTATATTATTATTATAATATAGAAAAAACTTTTTCGTATTCCTTCATGTTTATTTTTCTTCGCAGAATCAACCTATTATTCAACCACCACTGCAACAACAACCTTTACCTCAGCAATACACGAATACTAATTCGATCAGAGGATATTACAATACTCAACAACAGGTTAGCAATATTTCCTGAAATCAATAATAATGATAATACATATTGAGTTTTATTTTCTTCTTCTCGTCATCATCGTTGTTTCTTTGATTCTTGTTAATTTGCCTCAAAAATATAATGATTACGAGGAAGAAGATTGTCATATCCTTCTACTGCTGCTGCTGCTGCTACTATACATAATATAACGAAAATTGATTGATTTTATATAAAACTAATATTATTACAAAAGAACCCCTGTTTTAGAGAATGGATATTTAATAATTATAACTAATTAGTGAGTGGTGTGTTAAGTATAATTGCATTTTGACATATGGTAAAGGAAAAGGAAAAAAAAATAAAAAATAATGAAAAAGAGAACTAAATATATTGACTTAAATATAAATATGTGCTCAACTATAATTTCTTTTCCGAAAAAAAAAAAAACCAAAATTCTAAAATAAATAATAAAAAAAAAAAAAAATTAATAATAATAATAATAATAATAATTAAATATAAACAATTTTTAAAAACAAAATTTTCAATTCCTTCTGAATTATTATAACTCACTATATTTTTTTTTTTTATTTTTTTTTAACGCATAATATAACTATAATTATTAGTATGTCAACAAGCCTTCAATTCCTTTGCATAATCAAGTATTCATTCCTCCACCAGAACAGCAACAATTATTACAAGAATGCAAATCGTTAATTTTGTCACGTCAACAAAATCCATCAGATTTAACTAATCAAAACCAAATCACTTATCTGCAAAAGGTTTGCAAAAAAAACTAATTAATTGATCTAATTGATCATTTTAATCAACGAATTCTTACAATCGTTAATCCATTGGTTATATATTAATAATACATGAATGAATTTATGTAGTTATCTGAAGCACTTCAACAAAAATTTGTTACAAATGAAGAAATTCAGCAGATAAGACAAATGCTTGCTGCAAATAGTTTAACTAACATTATTCAATCTACCTCTACTCCAACATTTGCACATGCTTCTACCACTACCACCACTAATATAATAAATTCTACTACAACATTTCCAATACCATCTCAATCAAATTCTAGTACTAATACTAATACTAATTATTTTTCAAATATTTTAAAAAATTCAGTGATCTTATCTCCAAATTTTAATACTATTCAACCACCACTGCAACAACAACCTTTACCTCAGCAATACACGAATACTAATTCGATCAGAGGATATTACAATACTCAACAACAGGTTAGCAATATTTCCTGAAATCAATAATAATGATAATACATATTGAGTTTTATTTTCTTCTTCTCGTCATCATCGTTGTTTCTTTGATTCTTGTTAATTTGCCTCAAAAATATAATGATTACGAGGAAGAAGATTGTCATATCCTTCTACTGCTGCTGCTGCTGCTACTATACATAATATAACGAAAATTGATTGATTTTATATAAAACTAATATTATTACAAAAGAACCCCTGTTTTAGAG